TCCTGGATGGAAATTCTGCAGCCAGGGGTGATCGTGGATGGAAATTCTGCAGCCAGGGATGGTCCTGGATGGAAATTCAGGTGCCAGGGTGGCCCTGGCAGGATCTGCTCCATGGAATCTGTGGATCTGCTCATGCCAGGGACTGGCTCTGTGCCCAGCCTGCTCCCTGTGGAAGGATGGGAATGCCAGGAGAGCCCAGCATTGCCTGGAAGCTGCTCCTGGGCTGAGCCAAACCCTCCTGGATGAATGCTCAGTGCTCTCTGGACTTACATTTTTAACTTTTTCCAGTTTATTTTCTGTTGGTTTGGTCCATGATCCCACTTTTCAAGCCGGGTTTGCCCTGCTGGGTTGAGCAGGGCTTTGCATTCCCCTCTGTGTGTGACATTCCCAGCAGGAATTCCCTGCCTTTGCTGAGCTCTGGGATTTGGGAAAGCAAATCCCAGGAGAGCTGAGATTGTCCCACAGCACATCCAGGGAATCTGCAAAAGCTGCACCTCCCACCCCTGCAAGAGCCACAGGGACTTAAATCTTTTTTTTTTTTTTTTTTTTTTTCCATGAATCACCCTGGGGTTGTGACCCACGAAAAGAATGGGAATTGTAACACTTTGGGCATTGTTCAGTGATTTTTTTTATTTTTTTTTTTTAAAGGTTGTCTTATCCAGCACTTCTTTCCAGGTCTCCTTGGGTTCTCTCGTTCAGTTTAAAAAGAATTCCTTTTTGAGCTCGGTTAAAAAACTTTTTTAGTAAAATATTTAGAGATTTTTGTACCCTAACAGCTTCTCTAGACACTGACACTGGGGTTTTTTTTTAGGAGATATTTTTTTAAACTGGAACTGCTGTTGGGCAGAGCTGCATTTGTTGGAATTTATTGAAGTTTTTGGATGGGAAAGAGATTTTCTGTGAGGGAGCAGCTCCAGCCCGGTGTGCTGGGGGAGGTTTGGAGCTGCTGTTCCTGGAGCAATTCCAAAGCCACAATTCCCCTTTTTTTTTTTTTTTTTTTTTGTGGGATTTTGTGTCACTGCAGTCACGAGAGCAGTTGGGGTGTCCTGGAGCAGCCCCTCAGCACATCCGCCCCTCTGAGCACAGCAGAAAAGAAATCCCTGATGATTTTATCTCCCAAAATTCCAGTAAAACCTTGGATTTGTCCCTGGGGGGGGAGGGTGACAAACCCTTCCTGCTGTGCAGAAGCCTCCCAGTCCCTGAACTGGTCCTGTACTGGTCCCAGTATTGGTCCCTGTACTGGTTCCAGTCCTGGTTCCTGTACTGGTTCCAGTCCTGGTTCCTGTACTGGTTTCTATACTGGTTCCTCTACTGGTCCCTGTCCTGGTTCCATTACTGGTCCATTACTGGTCCCAGTACTGGTTCCATCACTGGTCTCTGTACTGGTTCCTGTCCTGGTTTCTATACTGGTCCCTGTACTGGTTCCAGTCCTGGTTCCTGTCCTGGTTTCTATACTGGTCCCTGTACTGGTTCCAGTCCTGGTTCCTGTCCTGGTTTCTATACTGGTCCCAGTACTGGTCCATTACTGGTCCCTGTACTGATCCTGCACTGGTTTCTGTACTGGTCCATTACTGGTCCCTGTCCTGGTTCCATTACTGGTCCCAGTACTGGTCCCTGTACTGGTTTCTGCACTGGTCCCTGTACTGGTTTCTGTACTGGTCCCAGTCCTGGTTCCTGTACTGGTCCATCACTGGTTTCTATACTGGTCCATCACTGGTCCCAGTCCTGGTTCCAGTTTTGGTTCCATTACTGGTCCCAGTATCCAGGTGCTGCTGGGGCCCCTCCCAGCCGTTCCTGCCTCTGGCTGCAGCATTCCCAAATTCCCATTTTTTTTTTCCCACTTGTGCCCCGAGTTCACAGCCAGGAGGTTGATTCTGTCAGAGGGTTTTGGGTTTTTTTTTTTAAAAAAAAAGATTTTCTGTTTTATTTTTAAATCTGCTGGTTAGATTTACATCCTAACAGGGAAGGATTTTTAAATTTTATTTTGTCCACGTTGGGATCCTGCTGGATCCTGCACACTGGGAAAGCCAAGAATTCCTCTAACAGTATTTTCTATACCATTAATTGACTAAAAAAAAAAAAAAATTTTTAAAAAAAATGTTTTCTATAGAGAATCTATTTACAAAATGAACATTTTAGTGCTGAAAATCCGAGTGTGTGGCAGGCTGTGGATGTGAGGAATGAGAGCAGAGAGAGGATTGATGTGCCTCTGTATTTTTATATTTGCTTCCAATAAACCAATGAACCAAAGCTGCTCCTGCCTGTCCCTCTCTTCCCTGGCTGGAGACGATGGGAATGGTGGGGATGGGCATTCAGAATATTCTGAATATTCTGAATATTCCTTGAGAAGGGAAAAGGGATGAAGGGAACAGCTGGAAGTTGATGCAATAAAATGAGTTTTGTTTCCATGGCTTTCACTGCAGAGTCACTGAGAAAGAAATCTTCCACCCCTCTGGAGCAAAAAAAAAAAAAAAACCAAAAAATCAGGAATTTTGGATGCAGACAGTAAGTTTAAAAATATTTTAATAAGCTTTTCCAGAATTGCAGACAGGGAAGGGGGGAGTAAGAGGAAGGAATTACTGACAGTGCAAAATACTGTGTGGGAAAAAGAAAAAAAAAATGTATTGAAGTCATCTGTGGGGTTTGTGAGGATTTTATAGCACATTGAACCCTTTGGGAAGGGCCAGGATTTCCTGTTGGATTGAATTCCCAAGTGCACTGAAAGTTTGGGGAATGAAGGCAAAGTGAGCAGATTTCCAGGATTTTCAGTAGCTTTAGTAGTGCAATGACTTAGTGAGTTACAGTGGCTGCAGCCTGAAACACCAACATGAACAAAAGGTAAATTCGAATTAAATATTCTTAAAAGTCTAGCTGAGCATTACATAGTGGATTATGGAATGTCAGGTCTAAGTTTCACCAACAAAAAAAGAAAAAAAAAAAAGGAAAGATTAAAAAAAAAAACAAACAAAGCAACATTGCTGAAAATACAGAAAATCTACACAGTGCTGGATTTCACACACGAGCCTGAGACAATTCATTTGGAAACTTTCCTATGGATTTTTGGGAAGTATTTGCAACTAGCAAAGAGCATCAAAATAAAAAAAAAAAAAAAAAAAAACCAACCCTGAAAATAGGATTCTGCTTGTGTGTAAAGGGAAATTTTGGGGTTCTGCTCAGGCATTAATCACTGCATGCCTTAATTAACACGGGTCTTAATTAAGGAGCCTCACCCCGAGGCTGTGCAGGGTTCTGGGAACATTCCCCCAGCTCTGCTTCATTGCTGATCACAAAAACCCAGCAGAAAAAAAAAAAAAAAAAACCAAAGCAGCCCTGGGAATTTGGGAATTCCAAATATCCATTTCAACTGGAAGCACAAAGAGCAAAAAAAAAGCTGGAAAGAAGCAGTGAAAGGTGAGCAGCACACCTGGGAGGAAGAGGAGGAGGAGGAGGAAGGGCAGGGGGTTAATCAATCCTAAAATTCCAGATAATAATTCAATTTTAACAGAGCAAAAGTGGAGCCGGGCTGAAAAAAAAAAAAAAAAAAAACCAACACAAAAAAACCCCAACCAACAGAAAGCAGAATGAATTTGGATTTCCAAAATTTCCTGATTGCTGGATGTAAAATCCTACAGGCACCACTCCCCATTTATTTATGAGGGATTTTGGGGGGTTTTTTTTCCACATTGCAGTGTGAGGTTCCTGCTCTCCCTGTGCAGCACCAAATCCAGAATGCAGCATTTGCTGGGTTGGAAAAGACCTTTGAGATCATCAGCTCCAACCTCTGCCCTCTGCAATTCCAACATTTTCCAACCGGGGGCAAAGACTGCTCGATTTTTTTTTTTTTTTAATTTTTATTTTTTTTTTTGATGGGGAAAGCTGAGCTTGGCAGAAAGTTCAGGATTATTTGGGCTGCTGTGAAATTGCTCTGAGTTCCAAATAAAGCAAAGCAAGGAGATGTGTGCAGTGCAGAGAAATGGAAATCATCATTATTTGCCATAAAAACAAGGAAAAAAAAAAAAAAAAAACCAAACACATTTTCAAAATCAAATGCTTCCTGACCATTCTTATGTTAATTATTTACCAGCTTCTAGGAAGAAAATTAACACGTTGGTGATTAATTTTTAACTCCATTGGTTTGGTTTGGTTTAGGGTTTGGTTTTTTTTCTTTCTTTTTTTTTTTTTTTTTACTTTTTTTTTTTTTTTTTTTTAAAAGACTTCAGCAAAATAAAAGGAAGCTGACATTAGACTCAGGGTTATCAACTCTCTTCATAAAAGTTTACCAACTGTACAAGGTAAGAAAATTATACAAGCTTTTCGTTTTTAAGAAAGGACAGTTTCAATCAAGACATAAGTACTGTAAAAATCTTTCAAAGGCTACAAAGAAATCTGGAAAAATACACAATTGTATTTCTTTAGCCCAGATAAAGAATAATGGAAAGACATCATTGATGTCAACAATTTTACATAGACAAACCTGACCTGGTTTATTTATTTACCTTTTTTAAAATTTTCTATAATATATATATATAAAAAAATAGTTGTGCTCATAACTTTCAGGATTCATTGAGGGTTCCTTTAATGATGGGATGGAATTTTTTTCCTCTCTCCAGCAGGAGTGGAAATCTCTGTGCCTGCTCTGTTTTGGATTTTCCTCTTTTATTTTCATTTCCTGCAAAGCCCCAAATGCTTTGTTCACTTTGTACACTGATTAAATGCTGTTTTAGACATTAAATGCTCTAGGAACACATTCTTTAATGTGTTAGGTTGAGAATATTTTTTGCAGCAAATCACTGCTTTGTTCCTTAAATATTTAAGAGCTTTTTTTTAATCCCAGAACTGCAGCTGTCAGCTCTGAGAAATTCAATATTCTGCTGCTTTTCAGCGCTGAAAAAAAAACAAAAAAACAAACAAAAACAAAAAAACAAACCAAAACAAAACAACAAAAAAAACAACCCAAAATCGTTGGATCTTTTCGAGCCGACTTGAAGATCTCAGGAAACAACGACAACGAAAAAATAAAAAAAAATAATAATAATTAAAAAAAAATAATAAAAAAAAAAAAAATTTAAAAAAAAATTTAAAAAAAATTTAAAAAAATAATAAAAAAAATTAAAAAAAAAAATTAAAGAAATAAAAAAAAATAATTTAAAAAAATAAAAAAAAATTAAAAAAAAAAATAAAACCACCTCAGATCGTTTATGGATTTTTGGAAGGTAACCCATCAACCCTGAAAATTTTCAACACCCCCAAAAAAAAAAAAAAAACAAACAAAAAAAAAACCCAAAAAAAACAACCCCTACAGCAAGAAATAAAAATCTCAATCATCCAAAGTCTCCAGCTCCTCCAGCTTCCCATGGGAATGATTCTCCTGGAAGAATTCAGCAGCAGCAGCAGCAGCCGGGCTCTCCTTGCCACTGCTGCTCACTCTTCTTCTTTTCACTCCTCTCTCGTTCTTTTCCTCCACCTCTGGCTCGTTCCTGCCACTCTGCTCAGGGCTTTTGGTTTCGTTGCTCACTTTGGAAGCCTCCAGGCCGTTTGTGTCCAGCTCTGGGTGTGAAGTTTTTTTTCCCCCGCAGGGGCCGTTGTTGATGTGCAGCCCCTCGGTTTTGGGTTCCTCCTTTGCTGGTGTTTCTCCAGGGCCGTTGGAAGAGACACCTGTGGGTGGGAGAGGAATGAATTTTATGGTCAGCAAAGATCAGAGAAGCAAAAAGGTCTGGGATGACTCTCCCAAAAAAAAAAAAAAAAAAATTAAAAAAAAATAAAAAAATTAAAAAAAAAATCAGGATTTCTACTCGAATTCATTCAGAATTCAGAGTTTTATTTCCTTTCTCTTTATTGATGGAACAGGGAATTTATGGAAGGCCTTAAGAGAATGTTCTGGAATCCAGGAGCTGCAGGTGAGCTCTCCTCACCTGGGCTGGTTCAAGAAATTAGAATTTAAACTGAAATTCATTCAAAACCCAGAGTTTTTTTCCTTCTCCTCACTGTGTGATTGACATGCATGGAAATGACACAGGAGTTTATGGAAGGCCTTAAGAGAATGTTCTGGAATCCAGGAGATGTAGATGGGGTCTCCTGACCTGGGCTGCCTCAAAAAAATCAGGATTTCAACTCGAATTCATTCAAAATTCAGAGTTTTATTTCATTTCTCCTTATTGATGGAAACAGGGAATTTATGGAAGGCCTTAAGAGGAGCAGATCCTGGATCCAGGAGCTGCAGGTGAGCTCACCTCACCTGGGCTGCCTCAAGGAATCAGAATTTCAACTCAAATTCATTCAAAAAACCCAGAGTTTTTCCTCCATTTTATCACTGTGACATTGCTGTGCTGATAAACGACACGGGAGTTTATATGGACAGGGAATGTTCTGGAATGCAGGAGCTGCAGGTGGGGTCTGCTGTGTGTCCCTCCTGACCCAATCCACGCAGTCCCGGTGTCCCCGGGTGTCCCCGGGTGTCCCCGGGTGTCCCCGGGTGTCCCCAGGCTCCGTTCCCAGCTCTCTCCTCACCGTTCTGGGCTCCCCCGGTGCTCTCGGCTCTGTCGCTCGGGCTCCCTGCGCTGCTCGGAGCCGCCGGGGGTGGGGACGGAGCCCGGCTGGAGGCGGCGCTCTCGCTCTCGTCCAGGAGCCGATCCATGTAATCCCTGCGGGAAAATAATGGGAATATTGGTGGGAATATTGATGGGAATATTGATGGGAATATTGCTGGGAATATTGATGGGAATCCATGGAATCCCTGGGGGAAAATAATGGGAATATTGCTGGGAATATTGATGGGAATCCATGGAATCCCTGGGGAAAATAATGGGAATATTGGTGGGAATATTGCTGGGAATATTGGTGGGAATCCATGGAATCCCTGCAGGACACAAACAGGGATATGGGAATATCCTGGCAATACTCTGGAAATATTCCTA